AAACAAAAAATGAAATAAAAAAATTCCTTGAACCAAATGAGAATGAAAACTCAACTGTGGTAGTTAAGGCCATGTGCCAACTTGGTTGGGCCTGGTTTTGAGTGGCTGGGCAGCTGGATATAGTTATTCCCCATAGTGAAATTGGTAATTAACTCCATGGTGGAATCTACTGGAGCAGCTGAGTAACTGCTTTAGGGATGTGGTCTGCTTCTAGTATGTAAGAAGCAACTCTGAGGAAGGTCTCCAGCTTTTTGGCATGCTTGAACCCTGCATGTAGCCAAGTCGTTATTCAGCAGTCTGTCTTGCCCTGTAGATCTTGGGACTTTTTCTGGACTTGAATTAGTGGCCTGCCATATTGTTTGGTGATATCGGGACTGTGGCTTTTTAATGTCATCCTTGGGTTTGTCAGCCTCAGCAGCCAGCAGCTGTCTTAGTGAAGAAAATCTTCACTAAGCTTCAGTGGACTGGTAGCAGAAGGCAGCATTGAAGCCCAAGGTTGAGGGGCTTTCACCCAGCCCGTAGAGCCTGGCACTTCGAACTCAGACTTTTAGCCCCCAAAACTATAAAAGAATAAACTCTTGTTTGTTAAACCCATCCTATTTATGGTACACTCCTTTCAGAATGGCACTAAGTAACCAAAACAACAACATACCAAAATCTTTGCGACACAGCAAGAGCAGTTATCAGAGGGCAATTTATAGCAATAGATGCACATATCAAAAAAGAAGTAAGCCAAAATCAACACCTTAACCCAACATATCCAACAATTAGAAAAACATCAGCAAAAAAAAAGAAAAAAAGCCTACAGTCACCAGAAGAAAAGAAATAATAAAGTTTCAAGCAGAAACAAATGAAGCAGAAAATAAAAAGACAATAGAAGAAATCAACAAGACCAGAAGTTAGTTCTTTGAAGAGGTTAGTAAAATTGACAAACAACTGGCAAATCTAAGAAAGGAAAAGAAGGAGAAGACTCAACATGAATGAGAAATGAAATGGGTGATGTCACAACAGAACCAACAGAAATAAAAAGAATATCAGGATACTATGAAGAACTGTACTCCAACAAGCTTGAAAACCTAGAAGAAATGCACAGATCTGTAGAAAAAGACTACTTACCTAAACTAACACCAACTGAGGTAGAAAATTTGAACAGATCCATAACAGAAGAAGAAATGAACACATCATAAAAAAAAAATTACCAACAAAAAAAGTCTTGGTCCAGATGGTTTCACAGGAGAATTCTACCAATTGTTCAGAGAAAAAATTGACACCAACTCTACTCAAAATATTCCAGAACATAGAAAAGAATGGACTCTTCCCAGATTCATTTTATGAGGCAAGCATAACCCTGATACCAAAACCAGGCAAAGACACCACTAGAAAGGAAAACTACACAAAAATATCCCTCTGAATATAGATACAAAAATCTTCAACAAAATCCTAGCCAATAGACTGTAACAACATATCAAAAAAATAATAGATCATGACCAAGTGGGATTCATACCAGGTATGCAAGGATGATTGCAAAAACGACAAGGAGGCCACATGTTCTGACCTCCTCTAACCCTACAAGGGGAAGGCAGGATTACCAGCAGTAACCCAAGGCCTATTACTGCAAGGCCAGACATGCTGCCTCCCTCCAGCCCTTTCACCAA